TTTCAGATTTCAAAACTGATGCTCTGGCTTCCTTTGGAGCACATGGCAGCTCTGTCTACTATATGAGCTGGACAACCAGCTCCTTTCCCATCCCAGCCTTTGAAAATGATCAAGCTTTCTATTTTCCCACAATTCCAACCCAGCCTATTCTACTCCTTAATGCTTCCTGCCCGTCCCTGTTGGCACTGAAGTTTGCAGTCCTCCTTAACACTGAGATGCAGGGGGCGGGGGGCGGGCTGGCGCGCGGGCCGCTTTATCTGGCTGTGCGGCGGGGTTGCGGGCGTCGCGGGCTCTGGGCGGCGGGACGTCTTCCCGAGGCCGATCTGTCCGCTGCTGCGCTGCCTCGGCTTGCGACTCACGTCTCTCGGCGCAGGCCCCCGCAGCCCGGCGGGCTCGGGCCTCAGGTAACGCCTGTACCCCGCGCCGCTCCCTTCCCGGCCGGGTCCCCCCTCTCAGCCCGCGGGCACGGGAGGGGTTGGCGGCCGCCTCGCCGGCCCGCGGGCCTGGCCTCGTCCGCCTCGCACGCCTCGCACGTCCCGGGGACTTGGGGAGGGGAGGGTGGGAAAGTTAGCGTCCGGCATCCGGTTCACTGGCAGCCTTTTAAACCCCGGCCCGTGTCCGGGTGTCCCTCGGGCTCTGTGGCATCTCTCAAGCCCGTGGTGGAGAAAGTTTAAGCGGAACCGGGAGGGTCCCCGGGAAATCGGCTTCTTGTGGTTTTAGGGGAAAAAGCTGTGTGCGGTCAAGGATGGCACTACAAGACACCAAGATCTGTGTGGGGCCATGGGCACCGGATCATCAAGCTCATGGGTTTTTGTTGTTGTTGTTTTGTTTTTTGAGACAGGGTCTCGCTATGTAGCCCAGGCGGGCCTCGAACTCACAGCGATCCTCCTGTCTCAGCCTCCCAAATGCTGGAATTAGGGATGTGTGCCACCCCGCCCGGCCTCAAGCTCGAGTTTCGTCTTCCGATGTTAGAATGTAGTTGTCAAGTTTCTATTTTTGAGCTTAAGTGTTAATGGCCATGAAATTTAAGGGATTATGTATGTTTAGTACTCATGCGTATGTGAAACACAGCTAGGAACTTCATTCCCTACATTTGTTTATAGGTTAAGATCTTTGGTCACTTTAAGTGGTTGCCGCTTGTTTTTCTCTCCCAGAGTACTTGTCTTTCCACCCTCAAAGTAACACTCAAATCGAGGTTTTTTCCCTCGTTGCATTAAATTGGGGGGTAGCCTGAACGCCTTGTGGGGGAAGTTGGTGGTGTGGGGGCGCGCATGGGTTTTGGAAGGCGCTGTGTTTCCAGACAGAATAAGCGTGGGGAAGAGACCGCGTCGTAACCCTTCGTGTTTGAGCTGGTTTCAAATTCTCTTCAAGTCCAAAATACGGAGTGCGCTCACTCTTGCGGCCCCTTTGAGCCTCTTTCCTCGTGGCTCTCCACGCTGAAGCCACTCTTGGTTTTATTTTTCGTTCCTGGAAAGCCTCCTTCTTTGTCTTGGCTTTTGGCCTTTGCGTTTCTAAACTTGTTAATGTTCCATCTCCCTTTCCGCAGTTCCTAAACATTCCTCACATACTAGTCTCAGTTGTCACTTCCTCCAGAAACTCATCCCCTCGAGCGTTCCTGATACTCCATACAGTGTCCTGACCGGCAGTTCACAATCAGTTGTAATGAGTTGTGCTGTTAGATTCCTTGTTTTCTCTACTAGTGAATGTCATGAAGGCTAGCTTAGTGTAGCTTAAGTTTTCTCAGGGTCTGTCTGGCTCCAGCACCCCGTACAATGAAAGAAGGAATGAGTTGGAGGTCCGAGGAAGAGAAATATTAACTAGAGGAGAGTTCCTGTCTTCTATGAGAAAGAAGTGGAGGCCAGTCAGGCTCCATTTGTCAAAGAGGAGACCCTTTTTTTGTGTGTGTTTACCACATGGATAAATGATTGTACTAACCATATAGATGTAAATTAAATTTGTACACGTTCTGCAGTTTGCTAATTAATATAATGAACCATTTCTGTCGTATGTAAAAAGTCACAGGGTTGTATGTGGACAAATCTTTAAAAGGAAGAGGGACATTTTTATGTCTTAGGTTTTAAGTTCTATCCACAATTGTTTTGTCTTTATCCTCACTAAGCCTTAGGGTGATACAGCAAAGTTCTATTTGTTGTTGTTGTTGTTTAGTTTTTTGGAATAAGGTCTCACTGTGTATTTACTATGTCACTGTGGCCTTGTATTCACTATGTAGCCCAGGCTGGCTGCAGTCCTCCTGCCTCAGCTTCCTGAGTGCTGGGATTACAGGCACTGACCACCCCCACCCCGACCCCAGCAGCAAAGTTCTTTATCTGGAGTAAGCATGCAATTTTTATTTGTAATACAGATTTGTAGGATTTTTTGGAAGCTTCATCAATGAGAACATTGCAGGCTGATGAAAGTTGCTACTTCTTTCCAACATAATTCCCTTGTTTCTCAAATAATTATATTTTTCGCATTCTGAAGATGGCAGATACTTAGAATATTATGTAACCTCAGTGCACCAATTAGTTTCATAAATTACGTTCAGTCAGTGTGTTTTATTTAATATATCTAGCTGATCAACTTTGTTACCTGGGGAGAAGTATTTCCACTGCCACTCACTTCTGTGACTTCAAACAAGTTTAAGTGTTTTTTATTCGTTTATGAGACAGGGTCTTGTTGTGTAGTTCATGTACAGTCTTGAACTCACTGTACAGCCCGGGCTGGCCTTGAGTGTGCATGGATCCTTCTGTTTCAGCCTCCCAAATGTTAGGATTATAAGCGTGCACCATCACACATGGCACTTACCCACTTACCGGTTCCAGATCTGCTCCATCTTTAAAAATGGAATGGAGTGGGGTGTGGTGGTGCAAGCTTCAGCCCATCACTCTGGAATGCTGAGGCAAGATTGGAAGTTTGAGCCAAGACTGGGCAATTTAGCAGGAGTCAGACCCTGTCTCAAAATCAAAAAATTAATATCAGTGCTAGGGATGTTGCTTTGTGCAAAGGCCCTGGGTTCAATCCCCAGAAGGAAGGGAGTGGGGGAGAATGGAAATCTTTAATAAGATAGTGGACCTACTATGGTACCTAGTACTCTATGTTGCTGGCTTAGTAAACTGGTGCTTGGTTCCTTCACTCCTGTCTTCTCAAGAGACCAGTCTTGTGATCACAGCTCTTTCACTTCCTGAACTTAACTAATTTTGCAACCTGCTCCAATGTAGTTTTCCTTCCTGAAAGTGATTGTATATGTAGTTTAGTAAATCACAGCTATTTTATCCTCAAATTGTGAAATGTCTAGTCTGTATCCCACCCTCCATTTTTTTTCTGAAAAAGTTTTTGTTGTTGTTCTGCTGGATTTTCCATGGTATTGACCCTAGAGTACCATACCTGTTCTTGAGTCTTCTAACTTGGTTTCCAACTTTGCTTGCTCTTGGTTCTCTTTTAATCTTTCTACCTCCTTGCCTTTTTGTAGTTTTTTTTTGTTTTGTTTTGGTTTTTTTGAAATTCTGGAAATTGAACCTAGAGCCTTGGACAAACATCTCTACCCCTAATATTGTCAGTTCTTTAAATGCCCCATAATATTAGGGAAATTAACTACCTATAAATTGGAATGAGTATTATATCAGTTGTTAAGTAAGTGCTATGTAAATGCTAGCTTAATTGTTTTCTAGGTAAACTTTAACAGATTTCTTGAATTGATGTGCTTTGGATTTAGGAGCAACCCATACACTGATAAGTAAGTACCAGATCTCTATCTGCAGTTCAGACTTGTATATTCAGCTAGTCTCAATCATTTGGCTGGCCTGTGGGCGCATACTATTGAATTTATCTACTCTTTCTCATCCACTTAATTAGCATAAAGCCACACCTATAGTTTTACTGAGTTGGAAAACTCAACAGGGGATCTGTGTGAAAACTGCCTTCTGCATGTAAACAGCTGGACATCTCAGAGACCCTTAAGCTTGTAAATTTCTTTTTTCCTTAATCTCTCCCCCTTCAATTC